TACAAAGACATTGCATGTGTGCATGCAAAAACAGTAGTGGTATTAGTCATTCTGGTCTTAACAAAGACAGCATACTACAGAAATTGCCTTCAACTTTCCAGTTTGACCCAATCATCATATCAACTACTCCAGAATCTTCATTTACATAGGTATTTATAATCACAATGCCAGTCAAAGGAATACAAAAATGACTGCAGCTGAATAAAATGAAACACTTATTTATACATCACGTTAGTTTTCAGGTTAGAACTCACTGTTGGTTCACTGCTCTTGTTTCAGCAGCCAAGCAAACATGAGAAGGAAAGTAGACTACAGCAGCACTGATAATCATGTGCACTATATAAGCAATTCCATTGTTTCCTTGTGTAGCCATTTTTCTGTTCAAAACTGAAGTCCAGCTTTTTGGGGAACTACATCCTCCACTCCAATGTAACCCTTATTCACCAAGCTGTTATACAGTTATACACTTCCTTGTACCTCACACAAATTATACTTGCGTACTCTGATAACTTCTGTGTTCCAAATTTGACTTACTACTTCTTAAAAAGAAAAGTCAGTTGCTTTCTCATAAGCCACGTGACACAGGTCCAGCCTGCCAAGGTTCCCAGTTTATTGGATACAGCAGCCCATAGATTTAGAAACATAAGTGTGGTTCTGAAGGGCACAACTGGACTTGAATTATATCAAAATTGCTGATGGTCTTTATCTCTGGAGGAAAACTCAGGACAATATCAAAAGATTGTAGAAAAGAGTAAAGGAAAACTTCAAACTCTCCTGTGAAATTATCTCTTGTAGATCTTTGTAGTCATTCAACATTATCTCCCCAGTATCTGAATTACAGCCTGAATGTGAAAGTAAAATCAGAATTCTCCTCCCTGCCCTATCAAACTCTCAGCAATCCAGGGCCAAGAGCTGTGATGGTGCCAACAGTGCTGAGGCAGCCAATCAATCATGCTGATATGCAGATATGTCACCAAAGGCTGCACCTAAGAGAGCCAAGCCCAGAGGCATACAAGCACACAGATAACCAGTCCAGGCAAGGTGAGGGGGTGTTTTCCAGGAACACTGGCTAACAAAGCAAACACATAGATGCAGAACTCTAACAGCAGTACATGTTCCCTGTGCAGGTGATACCTGTACTCACAGGCGTATTTGCACATGAGAGAAAAATCCAGTGGAGTTACAGAACCAGTACTTCAAATCATAGAACAGCTGCAAACACTGCAAAACATAGAAGCAATTTAAGTAGTGGAACTGGTAATTTTATCTTCTTTTTTTTTTAATGAAACCTACCATTTTTATCTCTGTTGCCTAGAATCCTAGACTAGAATCATAAAATTTATTTGCCTTTTGAAACCAAGTATGGGTACATATGCACATAAAAACCTATACAACAGAGGCAACTGTCAAGAGAGCAAAACACAGGACTAGATGGGGCTCACACAAATATCTGAGATAACAACAGGACTGGCTCAGTGCCCCTCATCCCCATGTGACAACTCCAATAGGGAAAGGAACCAAGTGCTCTTCCTGTCAGACCCTGGACTGGTCTGGACCAAATCCTTTCCCTTCAAGGGTGACCAGACTACAATTCCATTTAAACACTAGAGGCCAGCTAGGTCTGCCCTATTTCCAAGGACCACGAGCCTCCTGCACTTCATTGCCATTGTTTTTTTTCCACCCAACTCGTTTCTCAAACACAATGAACTATAAACAATGAACAGAGTAGTTTCCTGAGACTTCAGGCACACCTTTCTAGAAGTTTTATACTTACTTACACTAGGGGCCTTTCCTCTTCTGGAGTTGTGAATCAAGTACTTTTTGAACAAAAAATGGCTACACAAGGAAACAATGGAATTGCTTATATAGTGCACTACATAAGCAAAGAAATTTGATTTTTGCTAATATAAATACCAAAATACTGTGTACTAGTTACATTCAAATTTTTTTCATAAAAAGGTGTCCCTTGAAGGAATTTCTGAACCCTCTATGACCACAAGTTTTTTCCATCAATACTCCTAAATCCAGCAACAATGTTAATAATACTTCTTTAACTTATTTATCCAGTGCTGATGCTGCATGCTGTAAAACTGCCCTGCTCATTCTTTTGGTTTCTTCCACTCCCCATCTGCAAGGCAGAGTTACTTCTTGACTACATCTTCCTCCATTCTGCCTCCTCCCTTTTTGCCTTTCACACTGAAAAACACCCACCCATCTCCTAACACTAACAAAATTAGCATAGCCTATGATATGTAATGCCCTCCCATTTTGCCTTGCATTTTGACTTTTAAGATATTACACTATGTTATTAAGAGATACCAAAAGCAGCTTTTATTATAACCTACTTAATTACTTTTTTCAGGAAAAACACCAGGCAAGAGATGACTACTGACTGGTCTCAAAAGAGCAGGCACACAAAAACCTCTGGCAACACATGTGCTCTTGGCAACAGCTAAGCAATCTTGTAGTAAAAAAAAAAAAAAAAAAAAAAAAAAAAAAAAACCAAAAAAATAAATCCCAAACAACTAACAGACCTGAATTCTTTGGTACTGTGGATCAACTGCAAAATTCCACAGACACCTGTGGTCCTTAAAGAAATTAACTGGAATACTCATGCCTCTCAAAAAAGCAGCATTTCAGATATTAGAGGAATATTTTTTTCCAGAAGGATTAGACTATTAAACTTTGCTTTCCAAAGCAAAGCCCCACAGCAAGAAAACTTTCATTACAAATTCCAGTTTTCCAATTCATTAAACTTGACTAACTCAGTTACCACTGCCAGGTTTGAGTTGCAATCAGTCCAAACACAAGAGACTCAGCAGATTAAGTATTTGAATCAATACCATGGGAATGATCAGGCTAAACTTTTCTCTAACACTAAAATCATAAGTGACTTTTCCCTTCCAGTACCCCAACTCATCAAGGTACTTTCAGGAAGGGAAAGGAAAGGAATGTTTTTTATCTGCTGTGCTTTTGTTTACAGGAGACTCCATGTATTTGCAGTCCTCCTTCACATGCACACAAGTCATCTAGGGAAGGCAGCTATCTAGCAGCATTTCCCCCAGTTTGAACCCATTCAGATTAAAAAAAAAAAAAAAAAAAAAAGGCAGAATTAGTGCCTTCTGCATTACTCAAACCAGAGTACATCTGACAAAGCAAAGTGCAGCTGTAACTACTTTTTCCCCCTCACATTACTTAAAAAGCAATACAGGAGGTGCTGGCTATATCCAGGACTCAGAACTCTTCCTGCTCTTCTAAGCAGGATGCAAACGTTGGCTCTAAAGGCAGGTTCCAAATCCCCACCCCCCCATCCCCCTCTGTTTTCTGCAATTGGGCAAATCTTCAAAAACAGGAGCGAAGCACACCCACAATCTCGCCTCACTTAGACATCAGTGATGCAATTACTCTTCTGGAAGGCAGGAGATAGGCTGAAAATTTTCTCTTGTTGATTATTTTGACTACTGCACTACCACCTAAAGACCTTTTTTATTTTTTCAGTACAAGACAATTTTTGAGAAATTGTTACTACCGAACAGACACTCAGAAAAAGCAATTTTTACACTTCCCCACAATGAGCAGGCAGGGTATCAGCCACCCATTTGCTCATGCACTTCTGGCTGGCCAGGAGCTCCCAGGGCAGCACGCAAATGTTCACAGCACATTCTCTGAATCTCATTCTTCTCCTGTGCAGGCTAAGGAGCCTAGGCACCTACTTCTGGATGTGCATTTCCCTTCTGAGAAACAGCCTGACGTGCAAACGTAGCTTCCCATCTTCCTAGCTCAAGAACACTGGGGAATACACCTTGTACATCACTGCAAGCTGTTTAAATGCTGGAGAGGACATCACTTAATGCTCCACCACAGCTTTTCAGCTTTCCTACTTCAGTCTAAACACCTGCCCTGATTTTCTGCCTCAGACAAAAATAGTTATTAAGCTGCAGGAGGAAAATTAACTTCTTAACATCTCAACTTTAGGCCCACCTATGCAAGTATTAAGGAAGACATAAATTTCCAAAGGTCTGTAACACCCACTCTGTACTGGAAAACTTTTCTAGATGGCTTACAAGTCTGCAAGGCTAGATATTTTTTAAAGAAATTAACAAAAACATAAAAGACAGTTTATTTTTCAGTATTTCATTTTAATAATTTAACACGAAGCAATCGTTTACGTAAGTCAACTTTATTATTTACTATAATAAAATATAATTTTCATTCTGCCCCTTAATTTCAATTGTTGTTATGCCAAGGGCCAAAAACTGCATTTTCTCAACTTACAAAGTCAGAGCACAAGACACTTTCCACAGAAAACTTACATAAAATAAAACAGAATGCATGCTCACCTCTTAACTAATTGACACTTAGTGCCTAAAGTGCTTTAGATCAGTAACATGTGAGAGGACTGTTAATGTCTTTAAAGTTTAGTAAATATCATTAACGTCACCGGTGAGTTGCATGACACTGGTTGCAGCAGCAAATCTGCACATCAAAATGCCGGGTTTGGAAATTGTCAAGCCCATTCTCGACACATTTTAAGTGTCACTATACTCCACTCTTAATTGATCTTGATTCAGGCTAACCTTAGGCTAACGGGGGCAGGGCAATAAGGGTTTCTGCGACCAGAAGTGTGCATTGTAACCCATAACGCACAACAGCAGATGCCTAAAGATGCAGCGGTGGAAGAAGCGGGAGCACACCTGCTCCTCTCCCGCAGCTTCTCCCCCGACACCCCGGAGGTGCTGCCGGGAGCAGGGCTGTGAGGGTGCACCCCGGCCGGGGCAGCGGCCTTTCCCCTCGCGGGTATTCCCGAGTGCCCCAGCAGGCTCCGGCCCGGCCCTCCAGAGGGGTCTCGCTCCTGCGGCCCCCGGGGCTCGGACACCGCCGGCAGCGAGAGCCCCCGGCCGGGACCCCGGGGCACGTCCTACGCCCGAGCTGCAGGCGGGGAAGGCCCGAGGCGGAGCGGGCTGGAAGCCGCCCCGAGCCCTTTCCCGGCCGCCCCTCACCTGTTTTGAAGACCAGCTGCTTGTCGTCGCTGCTGCCGAAGAGCCGGAGCATGGAGACGAAGAGGACCCCGCACGAGTTCTGAATGCCGAAGACGGCGCCGTTGCACCACATGGCGGCCAGCATCACCACCCAGCCCCAGCCGCCCTCGGGGGGCTCCGGCGCCGCAGCGCTCCCGGTGCAGCCCGGGCTGCCGGGGGCCTCCTCTGCCGGGGCCGCCGGGGGCTGGGCCCCGCTCTCGCCGCTCCCGGGGCGCCACTCGCCGCCGTTCTCCCGCCGTGGCTCCTCGCCCGCCGGCGGGCCGGGCAGGGGGGTCGCGGCGGCGGCGGCGGGGTCTGCCCCCGCGCCCTGCGGCTCCAGCTGCTCGCTCACCGGCGCCATCCGCGGAGCGGGCGTGAGACCCTCCAGGCGCGCCACTCCCGCCTTCCTTTTACTTCTCCTCGCGACCTCTCGTCCCCCGCTCGCTTCAGCCCCTGGCCGCGGGGGCTGCGGGCATCCTGCGGCGCTCGCTCTGTCTGTTTATCGGTCCGCCCGCCGGCATGCGGGACCGAGCGAGGCCAGCGCACACCCCCCTCTTCCCGCCGCGCCGCCGCCGCTTTATTTTAAAAGGGGGGCTCCCTCGGGGGCGTCAGCGACAAGAGCGCTTCCCTCCGCGCCGATTGGCCGCGGGAGGGGAGGAGGGAGGGAGGGAGGGGGGCCGGGGAAAGGCAGGCGAAGCCACGCTCCTCTTCGGGCCCCCCCCACCTCGCCCGCCGCTCTGGCTCTCCGGTGGAGGGGGTGGAGCGGGGCGGGACCGCGCCGTGGCGGCGGCGGCGGCAGCGAGCGCACGGTGCGGCGGCCGCCCGGGGAGGGGGAGCGGGGAAGCGGAGGGCGAGGCTGGAAGTCAGCGGTTAACGGCCGCCGAGAAGGGGCGGGAGGCGGGCGAGCGCCCCGAGCCTGCACACAGGTACGGCAGAGCGGTAAACAAGCCCCTGGCCCCCCTCCCGGGCCCTGCCCGCTCCCCGCGAGGCAGGGCAGCTGCGCCCAGCGGTGTCCCGCCCCAGCTGGGCCAGGGGGAAAGGTCTGAAACTCCCGCCCCGGCCGTTTGCAAACAACAAGGAGATAAGGAGAAGCCGCCCCAAAACGCGCACCCTCCGGCACACACGCACACCCTCACAGCCACACGCGCGGGGAGAGCCGCTCCCGGCCCTGCCCAGCGCCCTTGGCCCCTGCGGAGCTCCAGTGCCCACCCTCCTGCCCCGGGAAGGGCTGCCAGCCCCGCATGGAGGCGCCCGGCTCCAGGGCCCTCGGGGCATCCGCTGTCCTCCGGGACAGCTGTCCACCTCCTCTCGGGACACCCTGTGCCAGGGGACACCGTGCGCGAACTGCTGCTGCCCAGTTGTCTTTGCTCCTTTTTAGCAAAGGAAGAGAAAGTGCTTGCTCCTGCACAGCTCTTGACATGTTTCCCATTTGCACAGAGGCATCAAGTCTTGACCTTTCCTCCCCACAGCCAGGGAAGTGAGAGGATAGGAAAAGCACAGGTCAGGAGTGTTAAATGACAAGTTTGGATTCATGATCCTGCTTCCAAGCTTGCAGACGCGCATCTGTTCCGCTGTTTGGCAGCTACGTACGTTTTGAGCACTTTGGGTTGATGAGGAAGAGAGCTTCTTGAAAGAAAATCAGCAGATTAAATCTGAATGCTCTGTCCTTCCCTGTGAGATTTGGAGGGCTCAAAGCATCCTCTTGCATTTATGCACCATCCCAATTTCTTCCCTGAGAGCTTGGGCTGCTACTGCTATGCCTACTGTGGCATCCAACTCCCCAGCCTGCCTGCCAAAGCCTCTTCTTCCTTTTTTATCCCTGAATCACCTTCCCCACTTTACCTGCCAGTGGCCACATGGAAAAACAAAGCTTAGTCCAAAACAAAGCACAGCTTCTTAAGAACATGTCTTCTGGCTCAGCACACATTGCTTTCCACATGAAAAGTAGTAGTAGCTAAAGAAAGAAAACCATATAACGATGTTGAATACATTTGTGATTATAATGGAGTGCATTTTATAGGTGCACTAATCTTGCTGCGCATTCACTGTCTTGTTACTCGTGCCCTTCTGAGTTAAACATGAAAATATTACACATAAAGATACAGCAGTGGAATTCAGAAAAAATAAAAGCCCAGCAACGAAACACAATATAGTTCCATGAAATACATAATGATTGTCAGAGCAAAGAGAGACTATTTGGCCGACCACTGAAAAACACATCTGTTCCCCCCAAGGAAGAAGTCTGGATGCTTATTAAAACCCCAAGCCTATGATAAGCTTAACTATGCTCAAAATGTTTCATAAGTGATTTAACTTGCAAAAGTTAACAGTTCACATTCTCCACCAAGTCTTTGTCCAGAAGCTGTTTTCTAAATCTGTTGAGCTTTCTTACAATAATTAAAGCTTCCTCCACCACAATTTAACTTTTTTTTGAACAGTTATGACAGAGCAAACAAAGCTTTTTTAGTTTCAGATTCTATCTTTCTTATGTGTGTCAGCAACGATTAACTTAATAAACTTTCAGTTGCATAGAAATAAACAAGGGTAAAATCCAAGACTGGGTCTTAATGTGGCTGATCCAAGGGGTCATGGCTCCACAAATTCTTAGATAAGTTTCTAACTCTTAGTGAGACTCCTCAGATGGGAGTCCTGAATGGGAGCCTGTGAAGTTCATGATGGAAAGTCAAATCAGCTCGAGGGAACTGCCACATATTTTTTCCGTTTTGGACAGTGTTCAGTTAAGCTCAAGACTTAATTCCTTCTCTGTGTATTTTTTCAAGGTAATATTTATGTACTGCAGTTTCATTTGCGTGTTTCCTATAAACACTACTATGACTCCCCCACTTTTTAAGACAAAGGATGTGTCTTTAAGAAAACCCTTTATGAACATATTATGTGCAGCTTCCACTTTGGTGCATTTTTTAAAATAGATTCTATTTCCTAGTCATTAAGTTTCTTATACCCCGATTAGTATGAACAAATTATTTTCCCTTTCTCCTCACATTTGGGAATGCATAGTCAGAAAATCAGATTTTCCAGAACATACAGTTTTTGTAAATGTGATGTCTATAACTATTTTGAATGCTTCTTCAATGTTCTGTACCTTATTGTCCTATTGCTGTTTAGCTAAACTAAAAAAATATGTCATATTTATATATTAAAAAATTTAAGCTTGTGAGGTCTTCCTTTACAGGCCTTAAGTAGGTATCTAGAGAAACTTTGTACCTCTTTGGTACATTCTGCTCCTCTCAATAGCTAAGCCTCTTCCCTTTTGAGAGAGGTCTCTTGAGATCTCAGCTATTTCCCTAGTAGTTCCCAAGAACAAGAACAATAAAATCTCACTCTTCATAGTCAGATATTCCATAGAAGATGTACTTTGCAAACAGAATATTGGCAGGTTTGACTGCAGTTTGATTTCTGAAGTTTTTGATTTCTGGTTTTTTGTAACCCCAAAGATTCACAATGAAAGCACTGTTGTTTAAATTACTGCTATCAAAGAATTTTAGAAGTATTATTTGAAAAAAAATAATACTAACTCTGGAAAAGTATGTAAAAGGAAAGCTACCTTTGTGGCTCTGTATGTTTGAGCCCTGTATGTTCACAAGAAAAACAGTTGAAAAGGAAAAAGAGGGAAGATGAGCAGGAGATAATCACCATAAAACAGTGAAAATAAAGAGGTTACATAGATATAGAAGCTATACTTCATATATAGATAACTACATATGTTTCAGCTAAATTGTTGTTATAAATAAAAAGAAAAAAAACATAAAACTAACAGGAAAAAAGAGAGAAAAGTGGAAAAAAACCCAAGAGATTATGGATAAGCTGAGAATGGGATGTGAGGAAAGCCTTGGGTTTGTCTAAGATTCCTTCCTGTTTATGGTAATGTGATTATTTTACATGTTTTATTAATACCCTACAGCTGATAACAAACAGCAATTGTATGCACAAAAGACATAATGCTCTGCAACAGACATCTGCCATGGTGGTACTTAGGCTGTGCCTATTTTAGGATCAATACATAAAAGACCATTGCCAAAGGAGGAATTTGCCCTATCATTTGTGGACTTTGAAAAACCCCAGGGGTCAGGAAATGGCATCTTCTGCAACTCTATCTGAAATTCTAGCCAGCTCCCCATTAAACATTGACTCCCTTTCTCACAAGCTATTGAAAATAGACCAAGACTTCAGTAGCTCTCACAGGCAGCATTTTCTTTGACCATAAAGAATATTTCAATTACCTATGACTTAAAAAAAATTAGCTATATTGTTGAAGCATGCTGTTGGTGACACACCAAGACAGCTTTTCCATAAACCATTTTATTTTTAAAGCTTTTCAAAATCATGTAGTATTCCACAAAAGTGCACAGAATGTCAAGCCTGAAGAGTACATGTTCAGAGAGATTAATTCTTCCTTCTTCTGTTGGTCTGATTAGAATTTGTACTGTAATCAATGAAAACAGTATGCCTACATCATCCAGAAAAAAAAAAAGGTCTTCAGCAAGATGCCTAACTTTGCCACAAATTTTCAACAAGTACAGTAGAAGCAAATCCAAGAAAGAAAGGAACTATGCAGAGAGGACATGAGGCTAATATAAAATCTTGTGGCCAGTTAGACTAGTGCATGATATTAATGATTAAGCCTTTCTGTTCTTTAATTTTCAGCTAGTATTATTAAGACACCTATTCAGGAGAAGGATTTGGACTTAGGTCAGAAAGATGAGATAAACAGGATAACCATTAAAACACAAAAACATATGGTATCGCCAACTACGTGAAGATCAACATTTGATTAAATGCTATTCAATGAGCAGTGTTTATGCCTCTCTCAGCCAGACAGGATGTTCTACTGATGTTTCAGACTGGGCTCCAGCTGAGTCGTATGAGCTACCAGGGCTGCATCTGACTGCTGAGCAGCTGAGTCACATTTTCAAAGGCAAAACCCACAGATTTTACTTGTTTACTGTTCAAAGTGTCTAACCCAAATTTGATAATACCTACAGCAGAAATTTTCTAGACAGCTATTAGTTGTCAAGATATAGGATCCTTCCTAATTCCAACCAGTATGAGAAAGGGAAACAAAGTAGACTAAATGTCTAAGTGGTGAAGCTCAGGAAAAGCAACACATCCACTTCCCACTTCTGCATTTATTTAAAATACCAATTCCAGATTTAACATCTTCCTTTTTTAAGTTCGCCTTATGGCTCAGGTCTGGCTCCTTTACAGAATTAAATTCAGGTTCAGTTTATCATTCAGTGAAGAGTGGATGGGACTTGACCAGCTGTTGTCTGGAATGTGGTTGACACATAACCGCTACTATTAAAGGTGAGCAAATGAAAGAAAGTGGCAGTCACTACCAAT